CCGGGGCGGGGCTAGAGGCGGGGCGTTGGTCCTGAGATTTCCCCGGAGCCTGGCGGCGGGTGAGCATCTGGGCTGGGAGTTCCTTAGCGCTGTGGCTCCTTCTCGCATCCGGGTAGATGGGGTGCCTTGTATTTAGATCGTGGTTCCGAGCTTCGCTTTCAGTCAGTAGAGCTCTGAAGTCCAAAACTGGGGGGCCCACAGTTAACCCTCTGAGTTCCCAGGCCTTGGGGATCCCAGGACGCTTCCCATTGCGTCCCTGCTCTGCAGGCTCCAGGGAGTGGACGTCCTGTGGGTCACACACGTTGCAATCTGATTTAGCTCTGCACAGGATTTACGAAACTCTCACCAGCATCTTTAGGAAGGGCGGAAGTGTTTTGGTATTTAATCCCATGACTCTAAGAATTCATATAGAAAGTAGACCTACCAGATTTTGAGCATCTACTATTTAGGTTTTTAATCCTTAACAGTTCTTGGAGATTGTTGTTCGGTCACTCCTGGGGCTCCACCTGCAGGTGCTTCAGAGGAGTGAAGCACTTAGGCCCACTTAGGCCCCAGGCCCTCAAGGTCCTGAGCCCATGGACAGTGAGAGGCCCTCCTGAGCAGGCAGTTGGCCCTGTCTGCTTTTTTGTTAAGACTTTCGTAAAAGAATTTGGCAAAACTTGTACCTTTCCCCAAATCGTTAAGTGATCATTGTTCTGGATTGCTTTTCAATAACATGTTTAGCATTTGTCAGGGATGTAATCCCACATACTGCAAACATTTTTTTAAAAAATTACTTCCCTCTGAGCCAACCAGCGGCATGTGGTTAAGGCAGCTGGATCTCACATGGCTGACCCAGCAGCTTGAAAACCTCACAAGCTGCCTGTGCACTTATGCCCAAAATCCTGAAAGAAGAATGGAGCAGAAAGGATTGCAACGTTTTCATGTCAAATGGGAGGTGTTTTCTCTATTTTCCTTTCTCTAACTCTGCCTCTCTCCAGTGAGTACATCCATCCTCTGGTAAAACTAAAAAACAAGACACCCCCCCCAAAAAAAAACTCCCTTAAACTTTACCTGTTTTGTTTTCTTTTAAAAAATCAATTTCTACCTCATATCTCTATAGATTTTTGTCACATGTAATATTTTTATACTTGATGGTCTTTTATTAATGATCCTATTATATTTTTGTATGACAGAATAGGCATAAAAATTTAAATTACTATTGGCTTTCCTGTAATTAAAAAAAAACTCTCAATAGCAAGAAAAACATTTCTGGATTAAATTCTCATTACAATTATTGCTAATACATGAATAGTAAGAAACACTTAAAATATTATGCATATTGGTAAAGAATTTTTAAATATTAAAAGTAAAAACTTAGGCCTAGTCCTGTAGCTTAATTAAGGGTTAAGAGAGTCCTATGCAATATGGCCCATTAGGGTTCAGATTCCAGCCCTGGAAACTTGAAAAATATCTCAGGTGCCTGTGTGTGTGTGTGTGAGCACCCAAAACCCCAACAGGGTGGAGAAACAGGGAAGGGATTGCAGTGTGACCACACCCCACTGGGGGGCATGCTTTCTGTGGCCCCTCCTCTCTTTTCTTCCCTCTCCCTCTCCAGCTCTCTCTGGCAAGCTCAGGGACCCTCTGGCAATTGAACAAACAAACAAAAAATAAAAATTTATTGGAAATGCATCATTTAATCCTATCCATTGGGCTTTTAAAAAATTAATTCAGATATCCATAAATGAAAAAATTGCTGGAATGCAAAAAGGCTTGGTGAAAAATCAGCAAAAAGGTGATTTACAGCATAATTCATAACACTGCATGGTAGGAATCAATAAATGAACAGAGAATCCATTGACAAATAAGAGCAGCAGAAGGCTTGGGCCCGAGTAAGAAAAGGAAATATGCATTTACAATAAGATAACCTTGTTGGACACATGTTAGTGAAGGCTCACGCTGGGTCAGGCGGTCCATGGCGTACTGAACTACAGGGCTGGAATCACGCGGCCGGCTGTGGGTTCGGATTCTCTGCTGATCTGAAAGCACGGTGTGTGCATGCACCCAAGACCCTGACAAGCTGGAGGGCTGTGGGAGAGGATCAGGGAGTGAGGAGCCCTCATGACTGGCTCTCCTCTCATGAATAAAAAATAAAACTTTAAAAGAACTAGTGGAAATATTTCTCTAATGAATCTGCATAAATGTTAAGAAAACACAAAATTCATCCTTAATGTAGAACTCTTTTTCTTGGAAATATGTTAATTGTCAGAAGGTAAAGTTTTCTAGGTCCTTTCTCTTGGAATGATGCAAAATATGCTCCTGACTGGGGTCCTGGGTTAGGGAGGGATTCTTCAATAATGTAGTGTGAATTTTAAATTGTCCCTCCTCCAGTATTTCAAATTGTCCCCGTGTTTGGAGCATGTGAGGCTTGACAGAGATGACAAACGCACAACACTTAATGCCTGGCACCAAGCACGTGCTTGTAGGCGTTAGCTACGGAGGATGGGTATACAGGTTAGCTACGGAGGATGGGCATACAGAG